ATTACTTCAGGATTCATGCTTTACTGGCATGATCATCTCATATTACTCACAACTTGTTATTACCCATTGAACCTATTTCTTGGGATCTCCAGTCATTTAGGTTGGGTTACCATCATGAACAACTCATTTTCCTATAGGCATTAGTTCCATCTTATATGATGTATTATAGACTTTCTCTCTAGCTAATCCTTTCGTCAAAGGATCTGCTAAATTTCCATCAGTACATACATGATCCACTCTTACAGCTCCTTTAGAGATACAATCTCTAAAAATGTTTTGCTTTCTTCTTATTTGACGTCTTTTACCATTATAATAACGGTTCTCAATTTTTACAATAGCTGCGGTACTATCGCAATGGATCAACACAACTGACATATGTTTTTTCCATAAGGGAATCTCAGTTAGCAAGTATCTTAATCAACTTGCTTCTTTACTAGCAGTCGTTAATGCTATATTCTTAGGATAGTATGTTTTTTTGATTTCCAAGATACAACTCCTCTAGCTATGTTGAATACATAGCCACTAGTTGCTTTGGAATCATCTGATAAGATATTCCAATCTGCATCATTGTATCCTTCAGGTACAATAGGAAATCTCTGATAATATAAACTGAGATTCATGGTCCTTTTAAGGTACCGTATGACTCGCTCAATAGCTTGCTAATGTTCACTACTCGGTCTACTAGTAAACCCGCACAACAATCCCACGACATATGCAATGTCAGGTTTAGTACAATCAATGGAATACCTAAGACTTCCAATGATGCTCGCATGTTCTGTTTGTCTAACTCTTTCACCAGTGTTCTTAAACAGCTTCACGCTTGGATCATTTGGTGTGCTCACATGTTTACTGCCAAAGTAACTATATTTCTTTAAGATCTTTTTCACATATTGTGATTGATCCAAAGAAATTCCTTGCTCGGATTTTGTGATCTTGATACCAATAATCACACTCACTTCTCTGAGATCTTTCATATCAAAGTTGTTGCACAACAATGATTTCATATCATTAATGGCCTAAGTGTTTGATCCAAATATGAGTAGATCGTCTACATATAGACATATGATAGTGCAAATACAATTCTCAAATTTGTAATAAACGTATTAGTCACTTTCATTCACTTTGTACACATTCGATATCATTAAGTTATCAAACTTTACATGCCATTGCTTTGGAGCTTGTTTTAGCCCACACAAAGACTTATCTAATTTACAGACCTTGTTTTCTTATCCATAGATCACAAACCCTTCCGGTTGTTTCATATAGATTTCTTCTTCTAAGTCACCGTTTAAAAAAGTTGTTTTAACATCCATTTGGTGTACTATTAAGTTATAAATAGCAGCTATTGAAATAAGTACCCTAATGGATGTAATTCTAGTGACAGGAGAAAAGATGTCAAAGAAATCTATATTTTCTCTTTGTCTAAAACCCTTGGCAACAAGGCGAACCTTGTATTTATCAATAGTCCCATTAGGTTTTAGTTTCTTTTTCAAAACCCATTTACAACCGATTGGTTTGCAACCAGGAGGCAAGTCTACTAAGTGTCAGGTCTTGTTAGATTCTAGAGATTCTATCTCATCATTGATAGCTTCTTGCAATAACTAAACATCCATAGATGACAAGGCTTCTTGAAGATTCATTGGATCTTCTTCTACATTATAAGCCACATAATCAGGCCTATAGTCTTTAGCAACTCTTACTCGTTTACTTCGTCGACATTCTGTTTCTACATTATCGTTGCTTTCTGTGCTTCTTATCACAGGAATGTGACTCAATTGTGTGCCCCCACTATTTCTCAATTTGAAAGGAAATTTGTCTTCATAGAATTCAACATCAGTTGATTATATGATCACTTTTTCCTTTAGGTCATAAAACTTATATGCTTTACTGTTTGCTGCATACCAAATGAAAACACATTCATATGCTCTACTAGCGAGTTTAACTCGTTTCGGATCCAGAATTCTGACATAAGTCAGACAACCCCAAGTTCTCAAATAAGACAAGTTTGGTTGTCTTTTCTTTAATATCTCATAAGGAGAGATCTTACATTTTGACTTGGGGACTCTATTCAGGACATAGCAAACAGTCACTAAAATTTTCCCCCACCAGTGAGGTGCAACACCAAAAATCATCATAATTGCAATAACAAGTTCAGCAAGAGTTCTATTATTTCTTTCTGTTTTACCATTCATTGAAAGATAGTATGGTGCAGTCGTTTCATGTACAATTCCATGTATAAAATTCATTAATAAACTAGAATCATACAGTTTATCTATCACTACAAATTCTTATTATATCATTTTCAAATTCTTTACAAAAAATTTAAACATATAAACTTCATTCTTCGTAATGGCGTACAAATCTACCCCAATAGACTGACTAAACCCTGTCTTATTTAAAAGAAAACCATAAACAATATTCTTTCTAATCTTAGGAACATGCATAATGTTCCTTAAGATTAAAGTCTTTTTGAAGGTGAAATTTAGCTCCATGTCTACAATTCCAGCAACATTCATGGTCTGGCCATCTCCCAACAATACTTTCTTATCTTTAGTATTCGTGTATGTTTAAACATAACACGATCATAACAGACACAACGAGAGACACATGTGTCTATCCAACAATCAACATATCCATCAACCATGTTGATTTCAATGACCATAACAATAAATTTCCCATTAGTCAGGTTGACCTGTGCATTAGGGACAACACCAAGTTTAAGCTTACTTCTACATTTCTTAGTCATATAACTTGATTTTCGATAGTTAAAACAAAGGGAAACCAACGCCATTTCTTTTAGGTGGTGGTTGTTGCCTAGTTGGAGCTATTGGGATCATAGAAGGATTCTCATTCTTAATCCGGTTCATAATATTGCGGTTCTGATTCTTTAATCATTTGCCAAATGGCTTCATAACTACACCGAATTTCTTTTTGTTGTTTGAAACAACCAAGACTTTTTCTTTTTGATATTGTCTCTAAGATCCCCTTTTTGTTTTTTTTAAACATTCAAACTATGGGGTAGTTTGTCAATAATAAAACCAATTTGAAATTGTTCATTTAAACACATACCTTTTGTGATGATCTTTTAAGAAATCTTTTGAAGTTCGTAACATTGAGCCTCCATCGACCTTACATCTTTGCATTTGATACTTGAAGTAGCGGCTAACAACATACTTCTTTGCTCCAGCTTCTACGTTATACTTATTCTCTCAATCTTATTTTGCAGTATCACATCAACTGTAATTATCATACAGATCATTTGCGAGTCTATTCAAAATATAATTTTATAGAGATTTTCATTCTCTTTCTATAAGGTGATTTCTTTACTATGTTGTAAATCACTCGCTTTAATCTGTGCAACATATTCAACTTCAACACTATTAAGTGTTCCTTCTAAATCTCCATATTTACTACCGTTAGTTTGTTCGATTGATCCAGAAGGAGCAACAACATATCATCGATCAAAACGTTAGCAACTTTTTTTCAACGTTAAGAACTTCATCTTTTGTTGCCAACATTTGAAGTGACTTCTCTCAAACATGAACGCTTTCTCAAAGACAATATCCGCAAAAGAACCAATAATTTCTTCGGTAGCCATGGCAGTTTGAAACGTCTTAAAATTATTGTTTTCAGATTTTAAAATATTTTCCACTGAAAAAATTACCAGGTTGAGTCGCGGACTAGGTCGCTCTCTTTAAGACGTTTCACGACACTGCTCAAAATTATACAAAACAGTCGAACTACCGCGCCGCCTCCAAGATAAAATAGCCAAGTTCTATACTGTACGATTACTACTTGTATGATAGATAATCGGTCTAGAAATACACCATCTGATGGTACAAGACCATTCAAATATGGTATCAACACCACTCGTAGTATCTGGTATAAAGATCAATCATAATAATTTCTCAAACAAAAACAAACTCAAATAATTCTCCAAAGAGAAATTAATAATGGTCATTTGATTACTCATAATAATTTCTCCAACAGAGAGAAACTCAAATGATTCTCCAAAGAGAATCCAAAAGATTAAACTTGAAAATTTCTCAACTCAAATGAGGAGAAATTAACATAATTCTCTAAAGAGAATTCAAGAAAATATTCAAAAAATTCAATGAGTAGGAAGAAAGGGGAAGAAGATGGCGCTTCGACAATTCGAGAGACGCAAAGTTATGAAAGTGAGGAAAGAAAAACTAATAGAATAGTTTTTTGTGTGATTTGGAATGAAACATGTGCACTCCTTATATAGTGAAGTAAAATAGTTAATATTTCTCACATGAGCAATGTAGGACTAAATGATTTTTTCAACTAAAAAGATATTTTAACAATGTGAGACTTGAGAAAAAAGAAAGGATTGAAAACAACTCTTCATAGAACTCTCGATACCATATTATGAACAAAGTGATATACTTCGTTGAAATTTCAATGAATGATTACACTGGCTAATTATAGGAGATGGATAGTGTATGCTATCTATTTTAGGATTGATGTACATGATGATAGCCTCAAGAAGTCTCAAACCAACTCCTAAATAACACTTGTTAATTATGGAAAACTTCACTTCTAAGTACCTGACTAAAATACTATAAAAGGAAATCATCATTAACAAGTTAGTTATTAACATAACTAACTTGTAACTGATTCTTTTTCTTTCTCATTGATTGTCAATCATTACTTTTAACGATTCAATATGATTGATGAAATCCATATCAATTATTCATGTAAGTTCATAAAATGAGGAAATGCCTTCAAAAGTTGCAAAATTATATCGTCAAGTTGGTTTCGTTGGTGCATAAGACATTGATTGATTTTTTATTGGATCAAAGTTGATATGTCAATCTTAATGGAACAGACACTACAACAAGATGGAAAACCAAACAAAGTTGTACCAAAATGACAACAAAAAAAAACCACACTCATGAGACAAGATTACCTGTCAATACAAAGAAACTAAAACCCTTCAGCTTCTATCTAAAAACTAGTGCCAGCAAATTTTCCCCTTATTGGTTGCGTCTTCCAAGGTAAAGATTCTTCACAACTAAATTACCATTATTTCTCCCCTTGATCATACCTTGATTGGCAAGAACATTTCCTCTTTGCTTAGGCTTTTCACAAGAGGTTCCTTCTTCATCATCATTCTCTAACTTTGCTTCCATCTCATTCTTAACTTGTGTGCTGTTCATACCACTGCGCTCCCTCCTATCAGTTTCAGCAGCATAATAAGGACATGTCATCCACCTCCAAAACCGTGTTCTCGAAACATGTTGAAACATATCAAGAAATGCCCAAGAAGCGTGAGCACTAGAACCTTCACAAATAACATCCAAGTCATTATCAAATACTCTAATATTTACAACCATTGATATCCCAGCATCATAAGTTTTCCAACCAAACAAAAATGAACTATTAATAGCATAGTAATGTGCTAGAGTCACTACATAAGGCTTTTCAAATCCACTCTTTCTCTTCTGCTCCACCACAAGAAGAATACCCTCGTTATCAAACCCATCGTATGCAACATTTGTTTTTATAACCTCTCCTAAACTATTCTTAGTCTCGTTAACAAAATTTATGTCAAATTTTCCAAAGTCATTTGTATAAATTTTATTAAGAAGATTATTTTTAGCTCTATCAATAACCAATGAAACTGAGTCATCGACTTTGAACCGTACAAGCTTGACGAGACCATCTTTACCATATGTCATCTCTGAGATTAGTTGAGCAGCTAATGAATAACCTACAAAATATGACAACGTCCTTATTTCCAACTTTCCTTCTTCAATGTAACGATCTTCTTTTCTCTGCCAAACACTAACATAAGGTCCTGCACGTATATATTCATTACAATTATAATTTCCCATGTGAATGTCTTTTTTTTCCAATATATTTGGACAAGAACTTACGGTATACAACACAATGCTATCACGATTCACAAGACCAAAAGAGAGAAGACAAAGGTTTACAAAAAAGAGTTTATTACTAATTAACTAGGAAAGTTTCTAGCTGCTAACTCTGCTTCTTTGGCTTGCATGGTTAAGTTCGTAGGTGAAATTTATAAATAGAGTGCAAAATATTTGCTTTGTCACCGGATGATAATGTTTATTGCAAGCGTGATTCTTCCGCAAGATTATTTATTTACAATGAGATGGCATCTAATTCTTTTTTCAAATAATTGGAGATGGCATATAATTCTCTTTCATGCATAAAATTGTGTTTTATTAAGTCTATCCATAGAAACTATGGTGGTTTCATTGAAGTTATATACGTATTTTATCGAAATCATTTTATAAAGGCCATATATCAATTATTTATTTTTGGGTTTAAAATGTGACCAATGTAAAATTATAGAAAAAATATATGGAAGGAGAATAATTAATATGACGTTTTAAGGATTAAATATAAATGGATGGCAAGCGTGTAATAAGTTGGTTCTCTGTTTTTTTTATAGAAAATTCAATCATATAAAAAACTATCTATAAGCCTAAAGAAATACAACATTATTATGCACGAATTTCTTGATTCTTGATAAAATACTCACTCTCTCTAGTGTTGATGCAAGGTGATGAAATTGAGGAAGAAGAGAGAAAATGACGAATGATAAAAAGCTGCTACAAATGATTGGTAAGTGTTCTGGACTGGGTCGAGCTGGCCCAAAAGCAAGGATGAAGGCCCAATCCAAACGGCCTTGCAGGGGGTCGCGCCGACCAAGAAGCCATAGCCGTGCCCGACCCTCTCCGCTGGTACGCCATCCTCGACTTCATGCAGTCCAGCTCGACCTCAGCTCGAGCGTCCCTCGTAGGGCAGACTCTGACCACTACACCATCACCTGGATCCCGAAAAGACCGCATCCTCGTCCGTCCGTACTTCTCGCAGAACATCCAGGAAGGAGACCACGTGCGGGTCCCCACTACACACGTAGAACATGGCAGTCCCTTCATTGGGTCAAACCTGTCCGGCTCAGTGAAGGGACATTGGCCCAGCGCTGGGGGCTATAAATACCCTCTGTTCCCAGAGGGTCAGGTATTCATTCTCTTACCCATACTCATACTTTTTGTCTGCTCGTACTCTCACTTACTTTAGCATCGGAGTGCCTTGCAGGTACCCCCATCTCGTTCAACTTCAGCTCAGAACCAGTCGTGACAGTCCAAGTCTGATCATGTAAGATCAGATTTTAATATACATCTGCGCACGTCAAAATATAATTAATATGATTTTTTTAATTTAATTTTAATCCGTAGTTATCTTAATCTTATTTTCACTTGTCGCATGTTACTTAAGTTTCATTCTTTAACTACTTACTAATTTTAATAAAACATTAAAATTTTATTTTTTTTCTTTCTATTTTTAAAATATTTTCTAATATATGCCGTTTTCTTTTCTTTTTTTCCTACTAAAAATATTTCATTAATTAAATTTATCTATAATACTATAATACTTTTCACTAAAATATATTTTTAATTTCTTTTTTTTTTCTCTTTCTAGTTTCTATAAATATTCGGAGACAATTCAACGATGGTGCGGTATCTCACTAGTTTTATTGGCAATTGACAGTGAAAATATAGCGATAGCATTGGCAGTGACAGTGAAAAAATCTAGAGAAAATTTTAACTCAATTCATCTTCTTCTTCACAATTTCGCCGGAAAAATTCAATGAAGCTGAAAGAGTTAGAGGGTCATCTAGGTTCTCTTGATCAATTTCCTAACCCTAAGGTTCCTCTTTCATTACTCTTTTATCTTTCAATTTCATTCTTCTTTTATAATCAATGATTCTGAAGAATGAAGAATCACTCACTTATTCACTTCTTTTTTTATTGCAGATTGAGCTTGAACAATATCCAACAGGACCTCACATCGCTTCTCGTATGCTGTTTCTTGTAAGTTTCTTAAACCCTGTTTTTTTATATTTTTTTACTTTGTTTATTTTCCCTTTATGCCCCTTTGAACCTTACTCTTCAACTATGCGAAAATTGTTATTTGTTAAAGTTGTAGTTTATAATTTATAACGTATTCTGATTCACCACAATAAGGTTCCGTGCATTTTCACTCCCATGGTGTATAACATTTGTTTTCGTAACCCCTCCCTAATGATTCTTAGTTTCGTAAAAAAAAAACTGTTTATCAATATTTTCTAGAGTCAATGATGTCAATTTGACTATTTAACCTACTTAGTAGTATAAGGCTCGGTTGTTTTATTGAATTTTCAATTGAATAAGAATTAAGAAGATCATTGTTTTTAGCTCTACTTATAACGAATGTAATTAATTTTGGTGCATAGAAGTAGAATTGTATGAGCTGGATGTCACCATCTTTGCCACATATTATCTCTTAAGAGGAGTCGTACAAATTTACTACATATTGTATGACACAATCCATTTCTCAAACATCCTTCTCTCAAGAAATGTTCTTTTGAGTAATGACCTTGATCTTTGCCAAATTGGATGCTAGCATTAGTTCCAACATTTATGTACCGGTTAGTGAGAAGACTATTTCCCATGTGAATATATAAAGTTCGCACAACAATGTTTTCTTTCGGTCTTTGCAATACACAACTCTACAATTAACTATTCTTAATAATTTTTATAATAGTTTTGAGAAGACTTTGCACGATACATTAGGTCAATAGTATAGGTGACGAGACAATGGTAGTATTAGAAAAACCAAGTCCCAGATAGATTAAAGATAAAAGTTTGACTAGGGTTTATCTAGAGTGACACCCTTCAATTTACAAGTTGGTTTTGTAAGAATTAATTAGACCCAATATAAAAATTTAATATGGTATCAAAGCCTACCGATTCCGGTCACTCACCATTTATATCTACACACCAAGCTCAATTGTATTGGGTGTGAGTGTGAGGGGTGTATTGGAGAAAAACCATGTCCCACGTAGATTTAAAGACAAGGCATGACAAAGTTTATAAAGAGTAGCACCCTTCACTGGATAAGTTGGTTTTGTAAGGATGAATTATACCCAATATAAACTTTAATAGATATATAGCAGTGTTAGGGTCGTCGATAGATGTTGATAGTGATATGGCTGTAAGAGTAAAGAATTTTATTTTTGAATTGATACCGTGTGCTTGTTAATCGGTTTTTTTTATATGATATGTTTGTTCTTGGAAATTGACTAGCCCTGTATGTGCAACATACTGATGTTAAAACTCAAAATTTAGTTGTAATTCTAGTTTGCGACAATTTAAACCAGTTGTTGAACTTTATTTAACATTTTAAATATTAGCTTGATATTTTGTGTTTTGATAAACAAATGGAAAGTTTTCATCTTATGGTTGGGTTGAGGGGAAGAGGAGGAGAGGAGGGTATTGTAGCAAATCAATCCAATGGTGTGCTAGTATGTGTTGATGTGAAAGAAAAAAAAAGTTTATGGATGAGTGTAGTTTTGTTTTTTTAATCATAGAATATTTATTATAGTTCCACATTGTGAAAGTCTTGTTTCTATTGTGATTCATGAAATCAGGCAGAGAATTCTTATGACGATGTGAGCAACAAAGTAGTAGCTGACTTTGGATGTGGTTGTGGTACTTTAGGCATTGCAGCTGCCCTTTTGAACGCAGAGTAAGTTGCAGCCACATTTTGTGATCTTTCATCAGTTTGTCCTATTTTTTCCTCAGTCATGTATTTTATGCTACTTAAATCAGAGCTGAGACTTGAATGACATTGTTTATCGGTATACTAAAATTTTGAACAACTATGTTATACAGATTGTAGAAGCTATCTTGAATGAATTTCATTGTTGTTAAATAGCGGCGCTATAGCTCTATAACAAAGTGGAATTTGAATAAATTGCTATTGTTCTACAATATGCTTTTTTTATAAGCCTACGATATGCTTTTTGAAACAAACTGTTGTTGCATAGCGGAATTTGAAAGAACTGCTATTTTCTGCGATATGCTTTTGACAACCCTAATGAAGTTATATTTCCTGATTTAGGAACTATACATCATTTCACATAGAATATGCTATTGACAACCCTAATGAAGTTGTATTTCCTGATTTAGGAACTATACATCATTTCACATAGAAGGTTACTTAGAGTCCCTACATACTAAACCCTAAACTAAGTTGAAGGATGGAAATTAAAACTAATGTTTATTAAATTTGTTCTTCAAATACTTTTTCCCCTTTCAATCAAATAATATTTTAATAATATTCTTTTGATTTGTGTTAGCATTGATCAGACATGTTCTCAGCATTGACGTTGATCCAGAATCTCTTGAAATAGCATCGCTTAATGCTGAGGAACTCGAGGTATTGTCCTTTTGCTGATTTTATTGGTAAACGAATGCTTAGGTTTCATAATAACCCGTTCTCTTGAAGGAAAAAATAATAAGGCTCAATATTTTTTCATTGTTGTCCATATGTTGAGTTATGATGATTCAGGTCAACATTTCGATTTTTATTGGAACAATAGGAGATGAAAAGTGGTCATTAAATAAGTGTATTATATTTATATATTTTATCCGAAGCGATTATAATGTTAAAGTTGGCCTCCACTAACGGATACTGATACACACTATCGCTTTGTTATTCAACTAAAACTGCAGCTGGACATGGATTTTATTCAATCTAATATCATGGACTTGAGATGGAGAGGTATTTTCAACATTATCTTTGTCCATCAATAGTATGTTATCATCACATTGTATACATATATAAACTATTTCTATAACAAAATAAAATAAGTGAAACCCTCTTCATATAAACAATAAGTTGTTTTCTGAATCTATCTTGGAGTGCTTATAGATATGTCATAAGCCGATTTCATAACTTCTCCTAAATAGTTTCACTAGTTCTTATGCCAGTAGGTAAGCTCTGCCAACTGTCTCACAAGAGCTTATGCCAATAGATAAGCTCTCCCAACAGTCTCGCAAGTGCTTATGCCTGTAGATAAGCTCAAATAAGTCAATCCAACTAGACATTAGGTGTATGTCATTTACTGGTATTCAAAGGTGTTAGTGACTTGTTCTGATAGCTCTCAAACAATACAATCTTGCAATAGCATCAGTTAAGAAGAAAGCAATAGTAATATTGGTGCTTTCGCCAGGTCCAGTTGTCGATACAGTTATAATGAATCCTCCATTTGGAACTCGGAAAAAGGGTGCAGATTTGGAGTTTCTTTCTGCTGCTATGAAGGTAAAGCAATATCATGGATTCTGTTTATAATTATTAAGATATGACTAATGAAAAATCTAATAATATACCTTTGTTCCATATTTTGTTTCATTAGGTTGCTTCTCAAGCTGTTTATTCTCTGCATAAAACTTCAACAAGAGATGTAAGTCAGTTGCAACTTAAATTTTTAGATTTTCAAATGAGCAATTTAGTTCTGCAGACTTTATCATATTGCTATTGACAAACACCAATATTTCTGGATTATTGAGTATCAAGATCATTTTTTTTATAATCTAACAAACAGACCCTAAATCTATATATTTTCTCAACATAATGAATGAATATTCCCTCATGTGTTAATACCATTGGATAACTTTATATGATTGCAGCATGTGAAACGTGCAGCCTTAAGGGATTTCAATGCTAGAAGTGCTGAAGTTCTATGTGAGGTGAGTGCAGATTAATTTTCTTATTCTAGTTATTTGTGGAGTAACCATGGTGCAATTCTGGACCATTCTCATATTGTTGAAATCATCTTCTTTTTTGTATGCTATGGCAGCTTCGGTATGATGTGCCGAAATTGTACAAATTTCATAAGAAGAAAGAGGTCGATATTGCTGTTGATCTCTGGCGTTTTGAACCTGCAAGTCATCAGAGCTGAGGCATTTAGTGCTAGACAGACAGATTGCAATAGATGATAACATTGAAAATAGAGATGAAGTTTTGTTATGTACCTATACAAGAAAGATATATTATGTGTTTTTTCTCTCTGTTACAACCTCTTGATATACTTGGGTGATTCCTCTTCAATAACTTGTTAGTATGTTATGATACTAGTTAAAGTTTGAACTTTGGACTTCCTTTTCAAATTTATTACCATTTGAGCTGCATCTTGGCTATGACACACAGACACCCACTAACACGTCTGACAATTTGAAAAAATAAAAATAAATCAAACATAACTATATGTTGTTGGTATCACACACGTGTTGGGACACCTGATACATGACATGTTAATATCGGTTATAATTTGAAAAAATCAAACATATTATATGTGTTGGTATCAGTCACTATCAGTTACTGACATCCTTGACACCAGATAAGGCGTAGGTCGGGATAAGTTTTTGTTTTGTTCAAAGGTGTTGGCGTTATAAAGTGTTCTAGCAGGTTGAACAAGCAGTTAAGTTGGTCTCAACTCAAGGATGTATGACTATAAATGAATCATATCAATGTTTTATTGTTTTTGTAATCTAACTCAAGAAGCATTCAAGTGTTGCTACATTATTCCTTCATATTTTTAGAGTATCTATTTTTTTTATGGATGATGATAACTCTTGCCAAAGAAAATGTATGAGATAATCCATTTCGAACTTATAATATAAGCAAAGAGTTGCTATCCTTACAACAATTCTCAAACAGATCAATGATTATTATAACTTACATGAAAAGTAACAAGTGTCAAGAATTAATGAACCTAGCAATTCAAACTTTAATGAAATTTTGTAATTTAAAAATGCATCAATTAATAACTTCAACACAAATCACAGAATTACACAAAACTCAGTCCTCATGTATCAATACAGATACAGATCAGTAAAATGCGTCCGCTCCTAATGATCATTCGGTTATTATGAAGAATCAGATTTCTGTTTTCAAAATTGATCTCTTAAGCTATGCTGCAACTGTTTCTTTTTCAACTGTCTCTCCGAGAGTGAACCTAACAAAACGCCGCACTTTAATGTTCTCTCCAATGGCAGCTATACTTTGTTTAACCAAATCTTTCACCAAAACACTGTCATCCTTAATGAAAGGCTGCTCTAGAAGAGCAAGCTCTCCTAACCTCTTTGAGATTCTTCCTTCAACAATTTTCTCTCTTATGTTCTCGGGTTTCGAAGCAAGGTCTTCTCGTTGCATTTCGAGTTCTTTTTCCTTCTTCACGGTTGTTTCTGGTATATCTTCAATAGATACAAACTGAACCTGTGGACAAGCCACAACTTGCATTGCAAGATCATCGACCAGTTCCTTAAATTTCTCACTTCTGCCAACAAAGTCGGTTTCACAGTTCACTTCAATTAGAACTCCAATGCGTGAATCGTGAATGTATGTACCGATTCTTCCTTCAGCTGCTAGTCTTCCAGATTTCTTGTCAGCAGATGAGAGACCCTTTTTCCTGAGGTATACTTGCGCCTTTTCAAGATCGCCTTCGGTTTCAGCAAGAGCTTTCTTACAGTCCATCATCCCCGCACCGGTTTCTTCCCTTAATTGCTTAACCAATGAGGCCGAGATCGTTACTGTTGATTTCCTGCAGTTCAACATCAAACAATTTTAGACTTGCAGCATAAATAATATGTAACATATAATAGTAGCAACTAGAGCGACGCTATTGCACATGGAAATTTGAACAAATTGCTATTGATCCATGATGTACTATTTAGTGAAAATTGTTGCTACTTGCTAAATAGCAGCACTATGGCGAACGGAATTTGAACAAACCGTTATTTTTCACGATCTGCATGTAACACTGATTAATAACTCATTAACAAGTAAAAACTCATAGATCTGCTTACTTTTGTTCAGTCTCCTTGACTTCGGCAGCAGCAGGCTCCTCTTTCACCGGTGTAGTCACTGGTTTTGCTGCAGTTTGTGCGGCCACTTCAGCAGCAAAATCCTGGCTTTTCTTTTCCAAACCTTCGCCGAGGTTGAACCGCACAAACCTCGTAACTTTAATATTTTCTCCAATAGTTGCAATTGTCTGCTTGACCCAATCCTTTATGGGCACTTTATCATTCTTGATGTAGGGCTGCTCGAGCAAAGCCAAATCCTCTAGTCTTTTCCTTATCCGTCCTTCAACAATCCTTGATCTTATTTGCTCCGGTTTTGATGCAAGATCTTCTTTCTGCATTTCTATCTCTTTTTCTTTAGTCACGATTTCCTCAGGAACATCTTCAGTAGCAATGTACTCTACTTGAGGACACGCAGCCACTTGCATGGCTATATCCTCAACTAGCTCTTTGAAAATTTCACCTCGGGAGACGAAATCTGTCTCGCAGTTTACTTCTACCAAAACACCAATCCTGCTGTCGTGGATGTAAGAACCTATTTTTCCTTCAGCAGTTGCTCTGGCTGCTCTCTTGTCTGCGCTTGCTAAGCCTTTTTTCCTAAGGAGCTCTTGTGCTTTAGTAATGTCGCCTTCACTCTCTGATAGAGCGTTTTTGCAGTCCATCATTCCAGCTCCGGTTTCATCTCGGAGTTGCTTCACAAGAGCTGGTGATATAGTTGCTGCAATCCAAACGGGGGCAGAACAGATATATAACAATGGAGAAATACTATTTAAAAATTGGAATGATTTGAAAAGTTGTCGCAAAAGTTGTCTAAATTTGTTTGTTCAAATAACACTAATGAATTGAAATACATGCATAAACTTAAGCCTGTCTAACATGTTTACTTCAGTTTGATGCAGAAAAGTGAGAATTGAAATGTGAAGCAAATAAAATGAAATTGACACCTTTACTCAGGACTTCATCTGAAGCAGTAACGTCGGTTTGTTCATTAGAACTAGATAAGGAGCTGTTTGTCTCGGATGCAATTGCAACCTCTTCAACTTGTGCTGCCACAGGTGTTTGTTCTTCTTGCACTTCTTCAGTTGCAGGACTTTCAACTTGTGCTGTTACAAGTGTTTGTTCTTCTTGCACTTCTTCAGTGGCAGGACTTTCAACTTGTTCTGTTACAAGTGTTTGTTCTTCTTGCACTTCTTCAGTGGCAGGACTTTCAACTTGTGCTGTTACAAGTGTTTGTTCTTCTTGCACTTCTTCAGTGGCAGGACTTTCAACTTGTGCTGTTACAAGTGTTTGTTCTTCTTGCACTTCTTCAGTGGCAGGACTTTCAACTTGTGCTGTTACAAGTGTTTGTTCTTCTTGCACTTCTTCAGTGGCAGGACTTTCAACTTGTGTTGTTACAAGTGTTTGTTCTTCTTGCACTTCTTCAGTGGCAGGACTTTCAACTTGTGCTGTTACAAGTGTTTGTTCTTCTTGCACTTCTTCAGTGGCAGGACTTTCAGGAGAAGGAATTTGATTGTTTTCTTCGGTTCCATCTGCGGCAAAAGAGTCAGTTAAAAAAAACTCCCATTATAGCAAACGAAAAAAAATCCAGTGTTGTTAATTAGCAGCGCTATAGTGCTTTAGCGTAGCGAAATTTGAACAAACCACTATTTTCTATTTTCTGAGATACGCGGTTGACAACAGTTATTCAATCAGGCAAGTAGAATTTTAAAATGAATCAAGTATAACCTTTACTCAAGCTTCCCTCGGGAGACAAATCACTCTCATTGTTCTCTGGAACAGCACCAACATTGTCATCTACTTGAAATACAAAGGAAATATTATCAGTTCATAAGAAATTCTTGTACATGCATCTTACTGCAGAAAATATGTCTGATTTTAGTTTTAAATTTTGGAAAAAAACACTCAATCGGTATTTCCATATGTAAATACGAATAAGATAAACGAGCAGAAAAAGCGTGACGGAGAAAACAAGAACCTTCTGTTTCTTGAGGTAATTCAGGTGCACTTGATGTAATGTCTGTTTCTGTAACAACGGGGACAAGCTCAACTGCATCACTATCTGTCTGCGTTGCAGCTACAACTTCTTCTTTTTCATTATCAGTTTCTGATTGTTTTTCATCTTCCGTGACAACTTGATCAACTACACTTTCTATTACATTTTCGTCGGTCGCTTCAACTGGTGAGCCAGTTTCTACATCGCTTGCTGTGATATCTGTCTGAATAGCTTCCTCGACTATTGGATTTACTACAGATATATCCTCTTCAGAAGCCAAACTTACAGAAGCTTCCTCCGTTTCCTTCTCAGTGTCACCATTTATAATACTTCCTTGACTGCTTTCATCATCCGCAACAGTTGTTGATGAACCGACCAATGAACTAGTTCCCACGTCTTCCTCGGTTTCTGTAGTTGATGATTTAGCTTCACTTTGAACTTTCTCCCTCTCATCCAAAAATTTAGCAATATCCTTATTTTTACGAAAAGCCAGTGCAAAAGAGTTTGGCCCAACACCCACACTCCCTTTCTGTGTAAATGGCTTTTCCAATTCTTCAACAGCTCCTTCCTTCTTCATAGTCAACGTCACACTTCCTTTTGTGATACGCAAAACTCGTACGCTAACTTCTTGACCAACCACCAACGAAGATTTTCCCATTACATTCGTGAATCCACCGTTATCCTCCTCACTAAACGGTAGAAATCCCTCCTCACCTTCCGGAAGAGATATAAAAGCACCACTCCTTGTCATATTCTTCACCCTACCCGTCAATTCCTGACCCACCGAAAATTTTGTATTTTTCCTCATACCGTCTTTCCTTGGACCAAAGTTTGAAGGGTCCCTAGTGTTTGGTGCGTCGTTACGTTTGCCAGTGTCAGCATTCTCACGCATAGAGAGAGATATACGCTTAGTTTCCATGTTCACTTCAATCAGCTTCACCTTCACTTCTTGTCCAACAGAAACAACACTCGCAACATCCTTTACGTAGCTATCACTCAACATAGATATATGAACGAGTCCGTCAGTGAAAGCTCCAAAATCAACAAATGCACCGAACGGAAGGATAGATTTTATTTTCCCTGTAAAAGCTGCACCTGGAATCAATTCCTCTTTCTTTACAGGCGGAAAATCACTTTTCCTCCCCGGTCTTGAACGTTTTTCTTTTGCAGAACTAGTGTTCGCATCGGACTTAGGAGATGAATCTACGCTTTTTACAACTTCAACTGAAGGAGATTCACTCGAAACTTCATCTGCAACAGCTGAACCTGTTACCTCCACGGGTACTTCTGTTTCTGTGGCGGATATGGAGGTTCTAGATTTTCTACGATAAGAGCATATCCGCTTGTTCTGCGGGAACACTCGATTGGCGACAAATGAAGGAAAGAGAAATCTCCGAGTTGACAATCCTTGTTTTAAAGAACTTCTCGAAAAACTGAGTCTGGTTAAGGAGTTATTCTTCCTTGTCGAATACGCAACTCCAGGAATAATCGAAGCATTGCCAACGGAGAACGAAATTATGGGATTCATGTTGAATTGAACTATAAAACTTAGTTATTTTTCAGGATCAGATCATCTTTTGCCACCTTCAAAAACAAACGAAGATTATCAAAAGGTGCAACTCAGTGATAAATTTAATACACGAAAAATTCTATAAATACACGAATCGCATTACATAATCAATTTCATCACAACTACTTCAACCATAATCACATCGTTTACAAATTGAGTAAATACAAACACCGACTACATAACATTTGAGAGATATATCTAAATGAATTTCAATATCTGGATTTCATAATCGGAAAAAAACTTCAAGTTGTAAATTACAACGTAAGGATTTCGTAATCGAAAAAAACTACAAATTGCTGAATTTCAATATCTGGATTTCGTAATCGAACTCTTGGACTAGTTCAATTATCTCCTTTATTCCATCAATGTCATTTTCAAAACACTTTCAATTCAATCATCACCATGTAACATAACATGATAACATATTAACATATCTCACAACAAAATGAAATTACAACCAAATTCAAAATTTCACAAATTGAACCAAAAAAACACACTTTCAAAATTCATGAAAAATACCAAAATTCATTTCATACAGGTAATTGGGTAAGCCAAGAAACTCTAAAAGTACTTTTTTTACACAATTAACTTAGTGAAATAACTATAATTAAGCATTCATTTCAATTTCAAGCACAGTGTAGAACAATAATACCCTAAAGTGATTCCAAAGTTCAATTTAAACAAATTCAATTTCCAACATAGTAAAGTGAGGTAAACACAATTTGGTCTAAGAATTGCCACAGAGAAACTAAAAACACTTGATGGTTTAAACATAATCTATACCTCGGAAGCTTCAAACAAAGAGGGAAGAACAATGAAGATGAAGGTTGGTGTTTGAAGTTTTGAGTGTAAAAATGAAAACTTTTCGGTGAAAGTGGAAACGGGTAATGATGATAAAGAGGGAGGGAAATGAATGGAGAGGCTTTAAATCCTTATCTTCATTATTCACAGTTGAGATGAGACAACGTTGTTTTTCTTTGCTTAATGTTTTTCTGATAAACCGAACGAAATGCCGAACCTTAGCTTCGGTTTAAGCCTGGTAAAAGAGTCGTTTAGTTGGCTTAAAGCCCAAATCATTAACCATGTACATATTTTCGAGCAATTTTTCATGTAATTTTTAATATATTCTTGTATCTATTTTGAGGTTTTTGACGAAATTCTCATAATATCCTTTGAATTTATATATGTATATTCGAACTCACTATGTTATATATTTAGAGGAGTTGATTCGGATATGGATATCTGACACAACTTTTTAGTTAACATCAAGGGAGTTTCCGATATGCATATCCGAATTGTATTAAATATATACAAAATTTTGAAATAAAACATCTCTTTTTCATTACTCTCTATATTCCAACTCTCTATTCTAACTCTCTCTTTTGCAATCTTTGAACAACACTTTCAACTCAATTCAAGACCAAAGTACATTTTGAAGAAGCAAAGCATATTTTTAACCCATTTTAACAATACTTCAAAGCTTTGAATTTGAGTAAGTTTCTCTGAATCTATTATTCTTTACAAATGTAAAATATGTTATTTAAAATCATGTAAGTTGAGTTGATTGAAGTATAACTTGTGAAATGTGGTTGTTTGGGTGTGAAAGAGAAGTTTTTAGGTGATTTAGAGTTAAAAAAAACCCCAACTGTTCGAAAATGGAAGTCGTAGGTTATTTCGGATGTGCATATTCAAAAATCCCTCTAAATTTTTGGATAAGCACGTCCGAAATTAAGTCCGAGTTGTTGTTTTTTAAAGTTTTTCACACTTGTTCCTTCACTTTGAGTAATAATTTTTTTCTTTAAGAAAATGGTTGAAAATATAAACAACATATTGAGACTTGGCAGGCCAAGCCATACTGCCTTTGCTCGGCGTGAGAAAGTTGAGCAGGCTACTAGGGGTTGAAGACGGAAGGAAGTGGTGGGAGCATCCCCTTCTACTCCGAGGAGTTGCCTGTCTCATGCGTCATCATCTCGGGATAATGAGCAAAACCCAAAGAGGTTGATATTCGGGCACAGAAACCCGAGAAGGTTGCCCATGATACACTGGTTGCGCGACTATGTATAGCAATAAGACAGGTAAATCAGGGATATCTAAGAGGGCCCTCTGACACCTCCCTCTTGATCTACTACAATGATCATGTCGCTTGACATGTTTGGGATGAAGTGGTATATTTCTTATTACACTTTTCGTTTAAATGTTTTACGCACAAATCTGTTAACGACTAACATTCAGAATAATATTTATTTTTACAGGAACGGCTTCCCATAAATTCCATGAACCACACGCAAAAAATATTGATCTACATCATCCTAATGAAGATTGGTTCAGAGATGCCATTCTTGGCTTCGAATGTGTTGGATTTTGTTGTTCCTATTGAGTTATTGTTAGCCATGACATGCAAGGAGCATTTATTGAGAAATGACACAAGGAGACTTTATCTTTCCATTTTCCTGTTAGGGAGATGACGATCACACTTGACGACATCGCATGCCTGCTACACCTTCCTGTTAGAGGGAGGTTACTAAACCACTCTTAGTTTACTCGTGGTGACGCGATTGAATAAATGGTCGAGTATTTGAGAGCTCAACTGATAAAGGAAGATGAACAATGTTCCTTAACTAATGGGGCTCATGTCAAGTTTTTATTCCTGGGCGGCCTATATGGAGATCCCCTGGTTGCGGAAGCATCTGTCGAGAGTGAGGGTAATGAGTTCTTTGTTCAGTACCACTGTGAGTGTGCTTTGCAGTATTACTTCATGTTCTTGGTTGACACATTCATTTTTATGGACAAAAGTGAAACCTACGTGGTGTGGCATATCTGCAGTACTTCATGAATTTGGATATAGTTATGGAGAGAAACTGGGGGCTGACTATATGGTATATCTATACCAAAAGCTTAATGAAGCTTCTAAATAGAGAACAAGGCAATTAACAAGCTCTTGCATACTGTTCACCGTACCTTTTATTCCAACTATTGAATTTAATTAGTTATTAATAATTTGTTCTTACATATCTCTTATTTAATTTTCTGGGATGAATCATTTCTCACTTTCACCATATTCATGGTTTCGATTTTGATCTGTTTCATAACCAGCAAAAAAATACGAGAGTCGCCACCACTACTTTTTTGTCCTAAGGACGAGAAAGGAATGGAAAACCCTAATTGCTTTAGAGATTATTGATAAGTGCAAATTATAGTTATTTTTGTATATACTTTTTGTTACACTTATCGACTCTTTGTTGTTAATATCAGTTGAATAACCCAACTTTGTGTATAAATACGTTTAGTTTGTGTATAATACATTTGTATGTACATAGTGTATCGATTGATAGTTTTGTATTCATTTTGTAGGTATTTGAACATTGTTGGAGCAAATGGAATAAAATCTCCAAGATGAATTGTTGGATCAATAAAGGAATAAGGCCAAGAAGATAGATCCATTAGAGTTATGCAGGAAGAGCAACAAAAATTGTTGTTCTGGTGTGCCTCGTCGGGCAAAGCCTGGGCGAGGAGCCTTCACGTCAGTATCGTCGGGCGACAGAGGGATGAGAGGACTGGATCATTTTTCCAGTAGCTACTGACTTAGGCTCGCCAGCAGCTCGTTGGGCAAGGAAATGTTGTTTTTCCGGGCGAAGCTTCCCTTCGTTTGGCGAGGGTAGATATTTTTCCCCAGTTGCGTACGTGGTGCAACTTGGGCCTTGTAATTAAGGATTGTTTTTGGGTGAAGCTTTTATATCGCCGGGCGACGCGTGCGGACCAAATTTTTGTATATATTTCTATTTCATTTCTTTTGTAAGGGTTATGGTTTTGGGTGTAGTTTTTGATCTCCCAACTCCATCAACCTCATTTTGTAGTGGATTAGCTTAGATAACAACTATAGAGCTTGCATAAGAATGATCTGGGGTGGATTGCTCTTTGATCGGCACTGACAAACCGGGATATTTGTGGTTCATTTCTCTTTTTCTTTGTGTATTCTATTTTAGTTGGGTTTGTATATGTATTTACTTTGAACTCATGTATATTTGTCGTCCATGGCATTATATAAAATCTGTTTTACAAATCTTTATCTATTGTTATCCTTGATTTTTGCTCTGTGCTAGGGATTTGAGTTGCTATAGACATATACTACTCGAATTCTTATCTAGGATGATAGTCTGATAGTTTCTAGATTCTAGAGATAGATTTAGAGCTGACATTCACTTGGGTGTATGTGATTAATGCCTCTGTGTTGCTTGTGTCGCTTTGAGAGATCGTCGACACGATTAACACGGTTGACTTTTGTGTTATTGAGGTGGTTAAGAGATCGCCATCGAGGTGATACAATGGGTGTTGTGTTTTATATGTGATGACATTGATGAGTATCGTAGGTTGAGTATAACTGGTCGATAGGTTTAAGTTTGTGAGGAGTGTATTATATGCATGCTTGATAAGTTTCCCCTATGAAGAATGAATTTATTTTTTGTTAATAACTTTTACCCTTTCCATTCAAACCCCCAAACTCATTAATGAATGACTTGTCAAACGAAGAATCAATAATCAATCTTTGTGGACACGATACTATATAACCTAAATTTCACCCGGTAAAATAATACTTTACTTTTTGCTTGCTGCTATACCGCTGCAACAAAATGGCACCGTTGTCGAGGATTGGTTTATTGTTTCGCATTGCGACAATTCCTTTATTTTTGAGTTTTGTAATTAATGTATATGTTGTATAGAAATTATGCATGAACTTATTTATGTTTACTTGTGAATTTATTTATTTATGTTTACCACGCGTGTACATGCTTTCTATACTTGTGAATTTATTATATTATTGTTTGTTTCCTTTCACATTTGCTTGTGTTTTGGTTAAGAATAACTATGTGGAAGTAACTTGGAGGAACGTTCTTAAATAATAGGCGTCGAGCTTACGACGTAAAACAAGTATGTTTTATTGTTTTTCACTTTGTTATTTTAGGTAGTTGAATGCAATTGTCTAAACAAATTTAACTCGGACTAGTTCTTAAATTTCATATCTTCACTTTTAAATTTGTTTAGACAATTTCATTCGGTCTTTTAATATGTGTATATTATTTGTGTTCGTTTTTGTGTTTGTCTTTGAGCTTGTTGTGAATAGCTTAAGGATATTGAGGTGATTTGTCGAATTTGAGTGTTTCAACTTGTGGATGTATGGTAATGATAATGTTTTGAAGTTAGTACACGCCAGATACTCGTTTATCTCTTTCTATAGCATAACATGTTTAGGAAACTTTTCATTTGTATAATTACCATGTCATTCATTCTTTTTGCATTACTTGTTCATGATTTGAATCACTCAGTTCCCTTTTTACCCCAAATGTGAGGAAGATTTCCATTGTTCATATATGTTGGAGGCCACAATTCTTGTTTTAACTGGATTTCATTATGTTTAATCTTTTGTTTGTGTTGATTGTATTAAAGCATGAAAGTGATCAAGGCATTTTGTTTTATTTTGAGCACAACTACCTAGCCAAATAGTCAATTCACCTTGCGAGTGTGTGAACTTTTGTTAACCCCTTTTGATCCTTTTTGTCAATGTCCATATTATTTTTGAACTTAATACTTATCTATGAGTGTTTAGTTTTCCTTTTTTGTATATATATATTGATTCTTTGTTTTCTTGAACCCTCAATCATTGTTTTTTGTTTGAATTTTTACCTTGCATGAGAAAGTAGAGAATATTCACTCATTGATGTTGATTGAATTCAAGTTGGGGAGATCAATGTTTGCTCATTTATATGTTGGTTTCTATGAGGTTGAGAAAAATAAAAAGAAAAGAAAGTGAAAAAGAAAGATTAGAAAAAGAAAATAAAAAAGATGAAAAAGTCTTGGTAAAAGAAAAATAAAAAGAGTATGTAATAATGTTGTGATAATAAGTGACGTGTGTTGGTTTGAAATTTAGAATGAAGAAGAATTTTGATTGGAATTTTGTGTTTGAACTTTTGTGAGTTGATCACTCCCTTAGGTTTATGGAAGTTTTTGTTTCGATTGGCTTTAGGACTTATCCCTTGTTTGTTAACCAAGCCACATTACAACCTTGAAAAGCCCTTATGATTCTTGCCTTTATATTTTCTGTGTGAATTTTTGGA